GACACTAGTTAAATCGCGTTCAATCCAACCACGTGTGTTTCCGATTTCACAGCTGAGCTACGCCGTAGGAGGAAAACAATAGGATCATTTATATATATATATAACATGATTTCTTAAGGCATGATTACAATTTATCTAGTTGGATTCTCGATTACTGGCATGCGCTGATTGATTTCAGAAGAAAATCAAATAGCTATGCAACCATATATATATGCTATTATATATATTTATTTTATTATTTATTATATGTTATATTATAATATAGAGATTATTGTTCTGAGTGGTTAGAAAATATGTTCAAGTCGATCAAAGTAACTAGCTTGCCAAATGGTTGAACATGATTGGTTGTAGGTCAAACCACAAAATAAAAGTGCATCTAAAGTGGCGTAAGGTGCCTTTCTAAAAATTGCTAAAAATTGACATTCATTTCACTTCAGGTCGATCACGTGGTCAAAAATAGCCATTTAAATTTCAATATTCTGCGTCAACGTTGATCACGTGATCTATTTTGACGCTAAAAATGAGCGCGGAGCGTCAACATGAATTGGCATCTTTTTGAGCCTTCTAATTGGCTGTGAGTCACTTTTGGAGGCGCTTTTATTGGTAAAAGAGAATTTGGAATATGGATGCTTGGCAAAAGGAAGAACAAAAAGAGCAAGTGCAGGAAGTACATTATAACCCGGATTAAAACCCACTATACTATAATCGAAAACGCTATTGACTATTACCGCGCTTACGTCCACGCGACTCGTTTATTTGCGGACGAGTAGTCACATAGTACGGACGTCTATATCAGGAACATGCTCCGTGGCCACTGGTGCAACGTAACACGTGTTGGGTCTGGTACGTTTACGTATAGAAAGTGAGAAGACGTAGTGGTTCCGCTGGTAACGCAACGAGGCTCCGTCGCCCGCCCGTAAGATCGAATTTAACGTCGCCGTCGTAATCGTAATATTAAGTTCACGTCGCGCCGCGAAACGTAGATTTCGATGCGTGGCGTCCGCGCGGATCGCGACGCGTTACGACGACGAGGACGAGTGCGAGGAAGGTGATAGTCGCGCGGTCGCGCGCACTTCGGTAAATTGCGCCGATCTGGCATCGCGACGGCGGCGGCCGTGCTGGAGCGATCTGGCCATCGACGTCATCGCGTCGGGAACGTCGTCGGGAACGCGTCGCGCGAACGCCGCGGACCTTCGGGTTCTCGCCTTCTTCCGCGATTTGCCTAACCTACCTCGCCCCATCGCCGCTGTATAACCTAATTCGCTCGCACGCATAACATATTGCGACCTGATTCGTCATGCTGGCGCAATCGGTCGCGCGGATGACGCGACGGTGCCGTCGATCGTGCAACATCAGCCACGTTGATCGCCAGCCCGACTGGTGCACGTGGCTCGCGTCGCGTCTACGGCGATCGCGGCGAGGCACCACGAGTCCCCTGTTTTGGAGCGCTGCGTGTTTTTTCGGTGCGCGGCCCCCTTTCCCCTCCTGCGTCGTGCTCACTGGAAAGTGGAGCGTACCACGGTTCCTCCGATTCCACGTGTCGCACAATGCTGCCAGATGGATTGGGCTGGAGAGTGATTTTAATTTCTGATTAAGAATATACGTTGACTCGCGTCGTTTACGTTTATTGCCGCGAAAGTTTTTGTTGATTCGGTAGGAAGCCTGCGATTCAACTTTCATTTGATTTTACCTTCTGGCCCGATCTAGCAAATTACAAAATGCTCCAAATTTGGAGGTGAATCAGTGAGATGCATTGTGCGAACAGTAATAAAAGTATTGTTTCTTCTTTCTGTTTATACACAGATTGTAGCAGCATTAGCGGACTATACGAGTCACATAGCATATACAAAATTATACAGCAGCATAAGTGCGAAGATCGAGACCTCAATCATTCACGCCAGAAACATATATCTTGAGAAATTCAAGCATTGCGACGGTGCAGAAGGGCTCTATGTGCTCCACCGTGACTTGGGCGAATGGTACTTTAGTTTTCAAGAGCTTGTTACTGTGGTATCGCGAGAGGTGTATTCAGACGGTTTGTAATCCGGAGATAAAACAGCAACAACATGCTCAACGAGATCCGGGCGGCGGTACTGTTCTTAGTACAGCTGATCGAAAAAAGCGAAAAATTTAGTCCCGATCAATTGGAATGCTTCAAGCGGCACCTGGTCGAACTGCTGACGGAACGCTTTAAGAACCACTGGTTCCCGGACAAGCCGTTCAAAGGCCAGGGTTATCGTTGCATTCGCGTTAACGGTCACAATCGTCGGGACGCGACTTTGGAGAGCGCTGCGAATGCCGCTGGAGTCAAGTATGAGGATCTGGCACTGCCGGTGGAATTAACGCTGTGGGTTGATCCTAACGAGGTCTGCTGTCGATTTGGTGAGAGTAAAGGATCGTATTGTACGCTGGCATCATTCGAAGACAAAGAGAACACTGTACCCATCTTCCAAAGCGAACATAATGAAAATGCAGAAAATGAAAAGCAAGCCCACATGGGGCCCATCAAGATACAGGTAAGCATTTCATTGATAAAGACATTAAAATAAAATATTTCTAATAATAATTTCTAAAATATCTAGAAAAATGATAGTCTCAATATCTAAATTCTCATTTTGTGTTATTTTCAAATACATTCAAATATATGCAAAATACTTGCGTAATGAATAAATTACAAAATGTTCTGAATCTGTTATATGCCAAATGCTGAATCTGTGATATGCCAAACAGAAATTATAAAAAGAACTATTGACTTACAAATTGAAGAGTTAAAGTTACGTCTTTGAAATTATTTTTATATATTTGCCATTTATAAGTTTGTATTCTATATTCCGTTTTTTTTATTTTTGTGTTTACATTTTTATCTTTCTGGTTTCTATACAATTATTTAATTTTGGTTTTTGTAATTCTGGTTTCAGAAATCCCCTCTAAACGCAAGCACAGAACAACAACAGCCAAAATCAAAACCATTAAGCATCGCTAATCAAAATCAACAGCATAGCAATAACGGTACAGGTAAGAGGCGCAATTTGAACAGTCCCAGGCTGCACCTGAACAGAAATCGTTCCTGGTTCGGTCATTCCTTCAACATGGGTTACGGTCCTCATCCAATCAGCCAGCCATGGTACAATATAATGCCCCCGCATTTCCTCGGTGGCCCTTCTCCGCCGCCCTTTATAGGACACCGGGGGAATAAATGGGTACATCAGCCCTCTTATCCCGCAGGACCCGCCCGTTTCCACCATTGGTCTCCCAAAGCTGCTCTTAAAGTATAAAAAGATTCGTTTTAAGAAAACAGTTAAGAAACCTGTTTCTTCTTGAAAAGAAAAATATGTGATTGTTTTTCAGCAAATACGTAAATTATAGTTTTAGTTCAAGATAAATCGTCGCTCACCAGAATTTACTATTAAAAGAAATTTTAATTAAGATATATTCGCGATATATATGTTTGTAAATGCAGGTAATGAATGTGTATACATTTTTATATTGGGAACAGGTTTGTTAACGCGTTGTTTTTGGAGCGACGAAAATTATCCATCCTGTAATTACAAATGACCTTGTTCGAAATACGACTAAGGCTTACGATTTTTTATGACGAGAGGTACCGCATTATTACATGTTACGTATATAATGATAAATTGGAGTAATAAATGTTTAACTCCGGATGCAAGGTTGCTTGTAAAAAAAGATAGATTAGGGACAATTTAATTTAGTATAGTAAAACGACGCATTACTATATGCGCGAAATGGAAATAGGTGTCATATCATGACGAGTTATTTCTTTGATCAAGTTTTTGAAATAACTTAAACATTATTCAGAAAATACGCGATATATGTATATCGAGGAATTAAAAAAAATCTATTTGTCTTTTTTAATTATTATGTTATTGCAAAATCAGTGAATCACACATCTATTTTGTTACATTTCTATTTTGTTACATCTCTATTGTTGTCCAATCCGTTATTAAAATTGTATAATCGAATTGGCGACGCCATTTATTTAAGCGTTAATAGTTTATAATTAGAGGAGGAATGCTCGGGATATTTCTGAAAGTTTTAAGATTTGATACGATTATTTTCGGTATGAAATAAAGTATATTTTATAATTTATTTATTATTTTATTACACAACGTATTCTCACTCATGCTTAATATTTTGAAGTTTATTAAACAATTTACTGAACCTCCTTCGGCAGTCAGCGAAACTTCCGAAAGCGGTACAGAATGTTATATCCATAGCTATATATAATCTGAAAAGATTTACGTTGCACCGAGAAAATATTTAAAAAAAATGATACAGATAATATTTGAAACTTTATTTCATGGCGGAAGAAACGTCCGTATCGAGTTTTAAAACTCTTGAAATTATTCCCGTTATTCGTCCCATTATAGTCTGATTTGAACTAGACTATAAATAACCGGTTTTGTTCCGACTAATGTTCGTTCTATAGTAGGTTTTATTTGCATATTAGCTAGTAGACCTAGAACTGAATAATGTGTTAAAAAGTTACCCTTTATTTCATGTGCGTGCGTGCGTGCGTGCGTGCGTGTGCGTGGTGTGTGTGTGTTATATATATATATATATATATATATATATATATATATATATATGTTGAATAAAACGGATTAGCGGAAAGATTTTTTATTTACATTTCTTAATTAAGAAAACATGTAATGAAAATGCAAGGGAAATGGGTCTTTTTTCTGATCCATCATTCTGATTTTTATTATGGAAGTCCTGCTCCAGTTACCATTTCCTCAGTCCTTGAACATCGGAAGTCGACCTTAATACTTTATCACTTTGCCAGTCGTTTCTCGATAAAATATTCAGAAACTTATTTGACGTTTGAAGTTTACTGTTCCGTTCCGTCCGCTCTATAACTGTTGCACATATTAATATAAGATATAAAAATAAAATAATATTTGAAAATTAATTATTTTAATATACAAGTCTCTTTATCAAGGATGTGTTTATAAGAATAATTTTATGACTTATAACAAAATAGAATGCTGGTTATAAAGAATATGTGCTGAAAATACGCACACTGTAATAAATTCAGTTACATTTTTTACATTGAGAAACAAATGTCCTTAGTTCCCCATAAAGAAACCGAAAGATACGACTTCTCCTTTAAAATCCGAAAAATGTCGGAATCTCCTGCAGCGTATAATTTTTTCCTGAGAACCGGCTATATATGAAACCGACAATTTCGGGTGGCTTTACGGAACCCGCTGAATTACGACGTCATTAAAATCTCCTTGCGCGGAGTATCCTTTGAACAATCACTCTTTCCTCTTTCTTTTGCTTTCCCCCTTGAAATCACGCGTCGTGGGTGTGCTTTGTCGATTTTATGTGATATCAGCCATTTCCGGTTTTTATGCATTTCACAATTGGCAAATTCCAGATAATTCGCGAAAAACCACCGTTCGATCAATCGCATTATTTGGCGTACACGCGCTTTTTTGCCCTATCAAATTAATAAATTCTTTTCGCATAAAATAACGCAGTGCTGTATTTCTGCATACAATTTAACAATCTAAATAATTCTCGCGTTTATTATATTTTATTCGTTTTATTATTATGTTTTGCACAATCTCCCCCCGCTCTCTCTCTCTCCCGTTAATCCAAAAAGAAATCTGAAGACAGTAATTTATTCGCAGATTCATTTTTCATCACGCGTGACGTTACTTCTTCTTTCTCCATCGGTATCGATCATAATTTCAAAAATGCAGACTGTGTCTGACTGACGCAGATACCTATTTTTCGCCGTAGTAATGTGCTTGTACACACGAACACACGATTTGCATTAAATAATTTAATGCGCGCGTCACGCTGTCACGCGCGATTGCCGGCACAATTTCGCTCTCGCGACGTGAAATTTCGCGAACGAAGATCAACGGGCCGTTCGTAAATCGGGAATCACGTTCGTTCACGGCCGTTACGCTGTTACGCTGTTACGAGCACGGCGAAACAGCGGCCGGCCCGCGGTTATCGACATCTCGGCGCAATGCGTCGCGCGTGCATGTCCTCCGCCCGTTCTCCGTCAGAAAATTTCAGCCCGGGGAAAATCCGCCTAGGTCAGATTATTCCGTTATCGCGGGAGAAATCGTGGTGGCGGGATTACCCGATCACGTGCTGCACTTTACGGAAGTGAAGCTTACGCGACGCTATCGAATCCCGATGACATCCGATAATCCCGGAATACGGGATACGAGGGCGGACGTGACTCCGGAAGAGAAGCCGTAGTCGTATAAATCGCGATAACACTTCATGTTCTTTAATAACGACAACGTCGCCGGCGCGTCGCTGCGAGCGGAGCGGAAGAGACGTTCGCGGCGACGTCCAACTTGACGCTTTCACGATGAGCCGGATTTTAAAATCACCCGCATTTCGCGAACGTGACTTCTCCGGCGGAGAAGTTCACTCGCAGTACAAATCGCAATAACGCTTCATGTTCTTCAATAACGACAACAGAACGTCGCGTCGCTGCGAGCAGAACGGCAAGGATATTTTGTAGCGACTTGACGTTTTCACGATGATTCAGATTTTTAAATCATCGCATTTTACTTGATTTTTTTTGACGTTACGTAATATACGCAATCTTTATGTATTATTACGTAAAGGGCAAAAATATGATCCTTAAAAATAAGTCAGGCTCTCCGAGCTTAAGGTCAATATTAATCACAATCGCGAGCAAATTTGTACGCTATTTAAGTATATGCTAAAATATAAAAAAAAAAAGAGAGAACCCCGAGTCAATATATAGCACGAAAGCATTCAACCCTATTACCTGCTTATCTTCTATTCTATGCGACATTACACTCCGTATGTCAAGCGGCAGAAGTAATCGATCGATCGCGACTGCTTTGCCATTCAAGATATTTCTGACTTTCGACGAGCGAGTCAATTTTCCCGTCGACCTCACTACGTGGACCGTGCTTTTTTAATTCGCGACTGAAAAGGGACGCGGGCACAGGAAAAAGAGAACCAGGCGGAAAAAACCGGGCCGGCGTCTGCGGCTTCCGGAACGATATAATCACGCCGCAGCGGCGCATTATCCGCGGAAAAGCTGGCGCAGCTTCCGCGCTGGACGGCAGCCAGGATAAATATCAATTTTATGACGTCTACGGATACATTCTCGTTTGCCCGGGCAAAGCTCGAGTTGCCTGGCAGGCCTCGAATCCGCGGCTGGCTTGATTTACGACCGCCGATCCTCGAGTGCGTCACGTTTAACTCTAGAAATACCACGGCTATTTCTCCGTCAGGTGAAAGAACGAGATGTATTTTTTTTTTTCCATAAGAGTATTCCATATCGCGGTAAAAGAGTTCAAAGCTCCGGAATATAGAATTTCCGTGGCGACTGCGGATACTTTTTTGGCCGTTTATGCTTTCCGCATAAAAGGAGAACCGTGCGTCGCGAGTTTCGCGCGAGCTTTCGTTAGTTTTGTGTGTTATTGGATTTCCTTTTTAGTTCGAGTATCCGTATTCCTTTTCAGTTCACAAACGCGAACTAGGTGTGTACCTGTATGTACACAGTCCTCCGGCGTTACATCCGTAACTTTACGACTCTCGTAAAAGCCGTTTGATGGCGGTCGAATCTTTTTTTTTATGCTGAAAAGTAACGTTTTACACGGACAAGTGCGGGCCGTTAGAGAAAGCGCGCGGAATAATAGCGCGTGTGACGAAATAAATTTCATCGGGCTGCTCGGATATTAAGGATAGCCAGCTCACGTAACGCCATTGTTACGAGCTCGCCGTTACGCACGCATTGATAAGCACAAAGTAAAGTAATAAAAGTTTGATTGATGTAGTTCCGCTTAAATAATTAAATTTTTTTTTTTTACTTGGGTAATCATTCCGCGTTTGTTACGTGCGGAAAGTAATCTATGTATCATTTGCGCTGTTGTAAATTCATATAGGTCAGTCCATTTTTAGATACACGTAGAAATATGAATAATTTATCGATTGATATATTTGTCGAATATCACGTGGTAAGAATACTACTGAATTTTAATTTTTAGCCCGAAATAACGGCAGGGCGAGATGCGATTTTCAGACGGAGCAGACTTGGAAATATAGCATAAGCATAAAGGCTTGATCATTCTTTTTTTGGATAAATGAATTTTGAACGAAACTCGATAATATTACACAGAATTTCTGGTGAGAGCGTAATCGCTTTAGCGAAACTTTGATAACGCCGCGCGCTTTAACTAGCCCGAGTCCATTATCGGTCGCGCCACTCTTCGTTATTAGATAAAAAATTAATGGCCGATCAATCACGATCAATTTCAGGAATGGCGTGGCCGGCGCGCGCGAGCTGCGAAGGTAGACGGTGTTTTATCTCTATTTTCTATGCAGGACGAACGTAGACAGGCGGGGCAGAAGATATTCATACCTGACACCGATTTCTCTTGGCACGTCAAACTGTCAATTATTGTCTTATTAATCCATTACTGCGCCTGGTCAAACATTTAATTATAAAGATGTATGGTGGGATAAAAAATGTTAGCCCATAAATCATCGCCCGTATCAATAATTAATACAGAGATATTACGTTAGAAGAGGTAGAAGAGAGGTAGAAAGAAAAGAAAACGCGGATAAGCATTTTGCTTTGGTAATGCGCCAAAAATATCTAGTTGCATTAATATATTGTGTGTCTCGAACGGTTGAATAATCTGCATGAATACGCGAGTTATTCTAGCATAACAATGAACCTAATTAATGCGCTAGACACAGGAATTCCTGCGTTTTGATCATAATATAGCTTGCTGATGGGAGTGCATGGTATACTCGAGTCTGATAATTAGCTCAATAGTCTAAAATCACCGAGGGTAAGAGAGAGCTCAATGAGCTTCGCCTCTAGAGAATTAAGAATTCATCTGTCGATTTCAACGGTAATAAATCTATTCAATAATCGCCACGCGTTTCAAAAACGCGTTGCAGAGCGTCTGAAATAACAAGAATAAAATAGAGTTGTGAAATAACAGGCAGAAGTAAAAATGTTTTGCATGTCGCTTCGCATGTTATATATTTGATGTAATTGTAATTCAGAATGCGATTGTCGTTCAAACGAAATTCTCGCGACCGGCATTTAGTAAGCACGGGATCTCTCGTGGCGACGTCATTTGCTCTTTTGCGCAATGTTTTTTAAGCCACGTGAGCAAGAGCTCGCTCTGTACGCCGGCGGTGGCCCGTCACTTGGAACCTCGATTTTCCGCTTCATCGAGACATCGCCAACGCAAGCCGGCCGGCCGTATGCTAATCGGGTGCACGGCGGGAATGAGCGCGGAAACGACACCCTCCGAAGAAGGGCGACACGAGGGGTGAGTCCCCCCTCCCCCCTCCGGATGATCCCTTCAACCGAATGAGTGACATCGCGCGCAGCAACAAGGGCGTGCGGATTTTATGGCTACAGCTTTTTTCTTTTCCTTTATGGATGCGACGGCGATTACGCACACGCGTCGTTCGAACGGACGGACGGACGGACGGACGATGACGACGTGACCGCGTGAAATTGCGTGGGCGATGCAGGATTTGCCGCATGTATCGTTGCAATCGAGGAGCGTCAAAAGGGGAATAGGTGGGTTTCGGGTGGCGTATGAATAACTGTGTGACGTAGCTATGTATGTTTCCCGCGGTTGTCGGCTTTAATAATCTTGGAAATCTCTCTGTTTGTTTTGAGGCGCCTCTAGATAAATCGCTTGAACGCTCGGGGAGAATTTAGAACCAAATGTGTTAAACGACTGTTACAAGAAGAAGCCGTATCGGGCTGTTAATTGTTTAGAAGCAGCTTGATTCGATTCGAATGACAAAATAATTAAATATCTTTTTGAAGGATAAACAACAAACAATTTGAAAAATATTAACATTCATAATTATTTTATTCTATCTTTATATTTCAATCTGCTTTCTTTGTATTTTTTTATATAATTTTTATTGTTACATATTTTTCTTTGTAAAATGTGTTTTACTTTATCTCATCATTTTCTAAATAGCTTAATATTATAAAAAAATAAATATAAAAACACGTGCACTTTGAAGAAAATTTCATTTTCACAATTATTCTATCTTGATACTTCAATCTGCTTTCTTTGTATTTTTTTCTTTCGTTGAATATTAAATTTTTTTCCTTCTAAAATCTAATTCACTTTATCACGTCATTTTTCAAATAGCTTCATATCCTCAAAAGAATAAATATTCTAAAGTCATATTTTTTTGAAAGCTAACACTTGAACACAAACACTTGAAAGAAGATCAATTTTTATAATTATTCTATTCTATATCTTTATTCGCTTTCTTCGTATTTTTCATAATTGTTGAATATTTTTCGCGGTAAAAATTCTTTCTTTTTTATCTTATAATTTTCTAAGTAATTTTCGCAAATAACGCAAAAAAATTCCATTCTTATTTCGAGAAACGCAGGGAAAACGCAAGGTATATAGATTTATCGTGAAATTCTATTTCATTCGATGCACGTGACTCTCGATGCGGGGAGCGCATTTAGGTCTCCCGCGCATTCCGTAAAAATCCGGTAATTCGCGGACAGGATATGCCATTGATATCGATATCCCTTTGGGGTGCATCGCACGAACGTCGAGTAGCACCCTTTCTACCCTACGGCCCTGTCGGTCTCCCCTCCCTCTTCTATCCTCCTCGTCACTCGGTAGCCGGCAGCAGTGCTCAGTCTCCGCCGAGCTACCGTCGTGTCGGGAGGTAGCTCATTTGCTCGCTCGCTCGCATCACGAGCGTCATCGCGATTGATAGTGCTCAAGTGCGAGTACGTATTTGCATACATTGTGAACAGTTGTGGAAAGTTGTGAATTTGCCAGATAGTAGCGGCGCAATCACGTCGAGGCCGATGGGAGATGACGTTCGATGGAGAGAAAGGTACGATTCCGCGCGAGAGGGTTGCAACTTATGACGGAGGGGGGTTGCAACTTATGCGTAATGCGTCGCGAGATGAAACTCTCCGGTGAGAGGTCTGTCTTCGAGTCGCGGGGAATCGCGATATCCGGAGCATTCGTAAGATTTATATCGGCTTCGGAATCGACGGTATACGTCGAATAGTAATATATGCGAAAGATAAGAATACAGAAATTGGGGAGTTAGACTTTGGAAGATTCAAATCTAAACTTAGGAATATTTTTTTTCATGTTTCATTATCTCTGTGTTCATATTCGACAAGTATGAATTCGGCGACGATATCCGCGTGATGTTCACGAATACCCTGTAATCCCGCATGTGGAGATTGGAATTGCTCAAATATTTGCGTGCCGAGGGATTCGAATCGGATTTTATTGTACCGCGAGGTTTAGAAATGTGACGATTTTCTTTTGTGGGTTCTCGAAACATTGAATGCTACGAATAATAATATATTACTAGCAGTAATATATGCGAAAGATAAGACAGAAATTTGGGGAGCAGGCTTTGGAAGATTCAAATCTAAGCTTAGGGATATGAATTTTTTTTCATGTTTCATTGTCTCTGTGTTCTTTACGTCACGAATCGCTTTTTGTTTTGACCATTCGGTTATCACCTTGACATATCGTTTCACATTAATATGTTGATGTCGGATGAAATAACAGAATAATTTATAAAATTACATAACATATTTGAAACCAAATTTTAATGGATCGAACTTTATCAATATGTTTTCCATGAAAATAAATTTAATAAATGCTTTATTAAGAAGTTATAATAGAGATATAAAATAGCGTATACATAAGACATTTAAGAAATGAACATTTATATCAAGGAAACTATGAAAAGAGAAATTCTATAATAGGAAATTTTCTACAAAAACTGTAATAGACAGATTTGATATTCACTAAAATCAAGTAAAAAATCAATATGATATTCAGACTCATAAATTTAATCTTTCAATCTTGCATTTATAAAATCAATTTTGAAATATAAAATTATCTTTCACAATTTATATAATGCATAATGTATAATATTGATTACGAGAATTTTTAACGATTGTTATTTAAAAATATCTCATAAATAAATTATGAATTTTTATTGATATTTTGTATTTCTATTGCAACTTTAAAGTATTTCTAGTCACTTTTCTAACATTCAAATATATAAAACGCAGTAGAATATTTTACATATTAAAATCTACATTCAGAACAACTGTGTATTTTTTATAAGTCTAATTGCAAAATATTATTATACATACGTACAGTGGCGTGCAAACGTTTCCGGCCAATGACATTTTGTACTCTAAATAACGTACAATAAATATTTTTATGATATTTTTATAAATAATATTCTTCCATTATATTATTTCGCTGTATTATTTACCTATATCTCACATTCATACTTGATAATGTTTAAAATTTCATTAGTCACTTTTAAAATAAATTAGAGTACAAAATGTCACTGGCCGAAAACTTTGGCACGCCACTGACTATATATAGTCAATTAATTCTTAAATATAATAATTTATATTATTATCGTCATTAGTAGAAATATCCTTCGCTGAATAATCTGTTTCGTTATTATTTATCGTTATTGCGTACGCATCTTCGTCGCTAATCAGGAACTATTCGTCTACTTTCTCTGCCGGAATACATCTCTCGCCCGTACGGTGTGATCGGCCGTAATTTGAGCGAAGAGATTCCTCTCGTCGATAGGATTCAGAGCGCTCCGCGGGTCGGCGCGAAGTCCTCTCCTCGGGTAATTTCTCCGCGAATTTCTCCCGGCAATTTCTAAAAGAGGCCCTCCTCCTATTACGTGGCTCGTGACCTCGCGCGATGCGAAAAGAGAGCCCGACGAGAGAATAATAAGCCGGGTCGTCGGCGCGAATGAATGAATCCGTATAGACGTCAGAAATGGAGAGTCCGCGTTCCGTCGTGACTTTCCGCGACGGTAGAAATCGCGACGGATCGCGACGGATCGCGAACGGAACGGAAGTGGAATCCGCGTAGCGGTATGCCGCATGTAAAAGCCTTACGTTCCCATTACATCGCGCTTCCGGTGATCAGATAGCCCGCTAGAAAGCTGAAGTCGCTTCTTCGTCATGCCTGCAGCTCGAGGGAATTTATACGCCGTAACACAATTGCGTATGCCATCTCATTATTTCACTCTTGAATATTCCTCTGTGAGAACGCGTTTGAAATTAAATCGCGCGATAACAATTGAATTTGTCAGGAAATAAGCGCGCCTAGGTGAAACTTTCGCTATTTACGAGGAGGTAAATTTTTGAAGTTTCAGAATATTTCATCGACTTGATTTTCTTTTATTAGTAAATAAGTTTACGAGAAAGAGAAGAAACGGAGAGACAGAGTTTCAGAATTCTGGAACCAGATAAAATATGAAGAAATTTTAAAGCTTTATTTGATATTAAAATATAATTTATCTAATGATTCATTAACTGATTACGCTCTTTAAAGTTTTAATGTTTGATCTGCTCTTAATCTCCATCTGTTTAGAAAAAAAAATATTAAATATGATTTATAAGCATTTGTCGATATATTCAGGATCTAAACTAATACGAGGGCTAAATACGTGTCCCAAATTGCAGTTAACGCAATCAAGTGACCCTGACCCGAGAGGCGAACCTTAACGAAGGTTCGTTCCCACGAAGGTTCGTTCTAACGAATGTGTACGTCACGGAGCTTCCCGAACTTCGAAGCGTCATAATTCGACAACGCCCACGGGCCGGAACGTCGTAATTTTCGAGCTTAATGATCCGACTCGAGTGAGCGAAATATCCCAGTGCCCAGTCTTCGACGCGATGATCGAGGTGAGTTTTTCTTGGTTCGGGGGAGGGTTGAGCGAAACCAGACGCGAGAGAAACGCGGAAACGCCGTGTATTTTGTTCGCGGTAAGTAAAGGGGGTGACCGCGGAGAGGGGCGCGGCCGTTTAATCGCCGCTACCCTAACTTCGACCTACGAGAACTATCACCCTCCGTTCTCTACCTTCAAGAGCGACGTACGCGTGAGTTGCAGCACTACGTCTGCAGTGCGGTGCGATGCGATGCGGCTGCGACGAAGTGCGTAGCGATCGACATTCGCGCCCTTTCAGGAAACATTGCCGCCCTCTGAATATGCGCGGTTCAATGCCGACGACAATCAACCGCATGGACAGACGTTTTTGCTGACAAATTTAAAAATTTGCCCCAGATCTGAAAGTAATTTTGCTGAAATGTAGGATGCTTAAGATAGAAGAATAATAATAATATCGTAAAAATTTTTGCTCTTCTGACAATTTGAACGTCATAATTTTGAATGTAATAATTTTGAAGACTCAATAAAATTATTTTCAAACCTGATCAAATTTTTAAATTTGCCAGCAAAAGTATTTTTCCATGTAGAGAGTGATGATGATTACTATTGTTTGCTTCTCTTTTTTCCACGTCGATGTTTCTCGCGAGTAAAATTTTCGATCTTTTGAAGGAAACGCTTTTATTCGAATAAATTTAATTTTCCGCACAATTCCAGATAAAATATTTTAAGCGCATATTTATTCGCTAGTCCTTCCAAGGACTCGACATCCGCCTATTGTCAGTAAAAATCTCCATTATTTCTTCCTTTCCTCCGTTTTCTTTTTCTTTTATATATCTAATTAAAGGCTCTTAGGATTTAATCCCGCGAAGAAAATTTTCCGTCCGGGAACGAAGAAGATATCCCGTGGGTACATTCGAGAGCTTCGACTCAGGATCGAGTGGGTGGAAGGTTATCTCATGAGATCGGAGACTGCGTTCGCAAGAGAGTGGAGGAAGGACTCGCAGAAGGGATCACGATTCGTTCAGTGGCCATAAAGGACATGTGATTGTCCCGGAAACTCCCGACAAGGGAAAGCTTTCAAATGAAACTTGATGGAGAAATTTCTAGACAGTCTATTTGCAATTGTCTTATGCCAGACGTCGACATCCTTAGCCTCAATCGGTGGCGGATGTTCGTGTTTGCTCTCGTCGATAAGGATGATAAAATATTCTCGTAGGATAATTTGAGACTTGCCAATATTTGGATAAATCTTATAGTTATGTTAATAAATGAAGAGCAGAAAAATATTCCTCTTTGATTTCGTAAATTTAGAAAAGACTAAGATGGAAAAAGTAATAATTCGAGATAACTGTCTCGACAAGTTTCTCTTCCTCCTAGAAACGAAACTCGAAAATTAATGGCGCAGAAATTTACCCTTTACCCCCGAAGTAGTATTTTGTTTCGGATCCACCGAGGTTATTTCTTTAAAACGACTAGCTCCCGCCGCGTGTTCGTAAAGGAAGGTGCGACGGCACCTGACTCTTCTCACACAGTTCCGGTGAGGCTGCTTTCTCCCAGGAGTAATACACATCCCTTCGCGATTCTCGCGATTATCCGGCACGGAACGGCGCAATTTTTCTCCCCCGGACGGAAACCTTACTCGACGTTTTCCCGGAGCGCGAGATAAAAACAAATCTTTCGCGTCCGTTACCGGCTGTTACGAGACTGTTTCGTCCCTTATCTGGACCATTTTCACTGACAGAGCAGATCTCGTTGCGCTATTAAGAGAACGTGATACCGACTGGACCACCCAGACAATTGGCGCGAGAGTCGAGGCTCTTGCAAAGGGATGGAAAAGGTCGTTTTCAGGGGGTGACATAATTCGTGGGAACATTTCGCAGGGAGAATGCGTTGCGAGAGAGTTGTCAAGGGTTGAGAGGCGAGGGACGAGATGCGGAGACGAATTTATCATAAGTATGAATGTCGCGAGGTAAATTGCAAACTGCCTTGATTATTTGAGTAAAATTCTTAAAATTCTTGTCCTTTTTCTAAATATTCTATGAAAATATAGAATCTAATATACCTCACTATGTTTTCCCTCGTGAGAAACATATTTATTTGTGATTAACAGATTTAAATATTTGAATATGAAATAATCAGATTTGAATATGAAATGAGATGTATTAAAGAATATTATTTTTTAAACGTCTACTCCTTTTTTGGTACAAAGAAAAATGGCAGCGTCTCAATTCTCAGTGGCCGGATCTTAAATTCAACCAGCGTCCCGCCATATAACTATATTGAATACTGCGAGAAAAATGGAGACAACTTTGAGAGAGGATCAAAAAGAAGAAAACAAGGAGCCAACACGAAAGTCCTCTGAAATTCCTACAAGGCGAACAGACACGAGTACCGGGCGCGGCGCGAGGCATGTCGGATCTCGAGACCTCATCCTCCGGCCGTCCCCTCGGACTTCCTCTGTCTCTGTCTTTTCTCGTTTCCTTCCTCGTTTTCTTCATAGTGTTGAGCTGTCGCGATTTACCCGTACGGAAGCCACCCCTCGGTATATCCTTAATACGGTAGTCGGACACGCATGTCGTTTGCGCGTGTATTCGCGTAGGCTCTTCACTCCTCTCGCAAAACGTTTTTTTTTTCTCTCCTTCCTTGAGAAGCGCGCCGTAATTTTTTGTCCAAAGAAAATTTTATTGTACACATAGGGTGTCGCGCGAATCTTTTTTATCTTCAGTTCAAAGTAGATTCTCTTCAAGAGAAGTGTCGCGGCTTCGACAGGTAAGAAGAATTCTTAGCTTAGTTAAATTTTACAATCGCGAAAATAGCGACAGTGAAATCTTATTGGTCACTTAGACGCGAAAATGGAATTTTTAATTTTCAATGTTACATTTATTTCCGGCCGTAAGTAACGCCGTGTTAAAATTCCGAACTTGCGGAGGAATGAGTGTTGAAGTTCATCTTTATTCTCATCGAGCCGAATTAAAAATTCGCATCGCGGGGGGGGATTATAAACTTCTCCCATTTTCCGCGTCTATTCCCGGGCGAGCAGTCACCGGCGAACTTTCCGCCGGCCGGAAAATCGCGCTCGACGAGAAATTTCGCGCTCGAGAACAACATAATACGTCGACGAGAAGTTTTTGCACGCCGTGAGAACTTACAAGAGTCGGCGACTCGCGTCTCGCGACTTTCCTCTCTCGAGTTCGCGTATTTTTCACGTATCCGAATTTCCTCGGTATTCCCCCCTCTCCCCTCTCCCCTCTTTACAGTCTCAGAGGCCACTCGCGTTTCCGCCGTTTTGCTCCCGTAGCGATTTTATTTCTCATATCGCGACATTCTCTCTCGCGGTAAGAAAATATTTGCGGCGCAACGTCAGCAGTGCAATTGTGATACGTCTCGATTTTTTTTCTTTCCTATCTTTTTTTTTTTTTCGCTACTTCTGTGTATATCGATAATGCTTTTTCCAGCATTTTTCCGGGAGCACGGAAAATGCCTGCCTGCGATGTTCCCGTAATGAAACCGCGTTTATTCTCGAGAAAGAACGTCGATGAAATCATAAAGAAAGAAAAGTACTGGCGAATAACAAGGGATTGAAGAAAAAAAACTGTGAACCCGAATGATGATAAGAGAAAGGATAAAACCAGGAAGGAAATAGGAAGGGATATTGTAATAAAATACAGATGAGCTTTTTATTTGTCAACTTTTATTTATCGCGAATCGATGTATATATCTTATATCTTATTATATATCGTATATATATCTTATTATATACATCGATTATTATATATATTATTATATCGTATACATATAACGACGGACTTGTAAACCGGCGTTATGGAAATAAATTCATTTAAATATTGCGCCAGCGAAATACATCAATAATTTAAACGCATTGAGATTTGTTTATATGATCCAATATGGGAATAAATTAAGGTGGTTATTTTTACACGGCCGTCATTTTGCGCCCGAATGTCATCGAAAATATGGAAGCTGCTCCCTTTTTCTGTCATGTCGAACGATTGATTGGACTACCTTGAAGTTTGTCGCCTTATATAGGAAGGATCATTTCGTGGACTACTTATTATGCGGCTTAATGGCCCGACGGAAACGTGTCGCACATAAGAATCGCTTCGTTCGACGAACGTTACGGAGATACTCATAATTTACGGGGACGCAAGCCTCTGACAGCGGTCGACTGTAATGAATCGTAATAAGTCCTCGATCATTACGCAATTATGCCCGATTATGCGATTCGCTGCTTCGTCCATTAGCGCGATCGGTATTATAATTAGCATAAAGGCTCGGTCCTCTGATGACGCTGTACATGCAAAGATATAGCTGAAGAATTATGAAACGCGGGCAGTAATATTTTTTATAGTTGCTTAAAAGATTATCAATCGTATTTAACCAACAATTAGTGTACTCTTAATTTCGCGTAAATTACGTTTTCGACAAATTTTCGATCGAAAAAGTCGTGTGATATTATAAAATATCAATTTCCTCATTACCTGATTCTTACACGAAAAAGGACAGTTTGCTAAAAGAAAAATTTGGCCAGGTCTGAAAATAATTTTGTTGAATCATCAAAGTAATTTTAGGACATTTAAATTGGTGGCTGAAATATCCAAAATTTTTAATAATAATGCTTAAATGCGTCTAACTATTTTGGTGACCCAATAAAATTATTATTCTTATTTAGATTAATATTAATGTAAATTATTAAAATGTAAACAATAACATTTATATATTAAATCAAATTTATCATTTTCAAATTTGTATTCGACCAAAGTTTTAAATACTCTAGCAAAAGCATTTTATACACATTTGTTTTTATAGTTTCATAATTTTTTTATTTATTATAATCATAACTATGATATATAAATATAATGTAGAGTAATAATACATAGCGAAGTGGTTTTTTTTTTATGCGGAACTATCATGTCTCGTTTGACTATATCTATAATTGAGAACGAATGCGGCGGAAGATTACCAATTAGCGCGATCGATCGACCGCCAGCTCGGACCGAT